AAAAAAAAAAAAAAAAAACAAGTGCATTTGCATCGTCCAGATGTAAGCGCACTATTGAAGTAGTATTGTGATAAAATGTGAAAAACGATCGAAAACAAGGCAGATTCAAGCAAACAGTACCAGAAATCTGTATTTGCTTAAATAATATTCTTTGCAGAAGATATATATGGCGTCTATTATTCATCGTGTGTGATTCTAGGAGAAGTTTCTTCAAGCATGAACATGAATTCTATATTGGAGCTGTTGTTGGCTTCCTGGTCCTTCTGTTGGATCCTGGAGCTGAAACCGTAAAAAAAGGAAAGTAGCAACAGCTCAACACAATAATGTGTCAAATAATAATTAAAAAAAATATATTCGGAGAGGGACGTGTATCAAGTATGGAAGACTATAAAACGTGCGTACCGAGTCCATTAACCTCAGTTGTCCTCATGATCCGTAGTCTCCTCACCGAGTTTAAAAACATCCTGACACAAAATAAATAGATAATCAAACTACAGTTCGTAACTTAAATAGAACTCGTAATCAGCAGCAGTCGAATCTGGTTGTCTCTTTAGCACAATTGTGATATTAATCTAATTACATACATAATAAAAGTAGATAAAAAACAATCGACGGACTTACTCCCAGGGAACATCACCAACAAGCATCCAGTCTCCATCTTTATCTTCATATGTGAGCACAAAGTCAGATGAACTATCCAGCAACTGCAAAGGTTGTCTTGTGACAAAAACAAGTTGCTCCTCAACATTTGATCCTAGAATAGTAACATCATCAGTCACCAATCCGAAAAAAAAAAACTAAGACCTTTGAAAAGAGTTCCATTCTCAGATAACGTTATGTTACGTTTATAGTAATCACCATACTTTCCGCATTCCTAATATCATTAATCTCTTCATAATTTAACAGCAACTTTATCATTCTGAAAGATTTTTTATAACTACACTAAAATCATGGGTGATATTTGCAATCTTCCCTTATTTTATTCATTGAAAAGTTCAATATTTTGCAAAATCATCCGAAACCGGCAAACTAAATGTTGCCAATGGATTAACAAACTCAAACCATCGATGAGAGGAATGACTGGAAATATTAGTACTTCATCAAGATCAAATACTAATGGCAGAAAAAATTACGTCTTGCCCCACGGGGTTTAAACATGTCATCGAGCGCACGAGCTAAAGTCTCATAGCAGCTATGAGCACTCAGATCAAGCTTTCTACCGATCGCGACGCCGTCCATGTTCACCTTCACAAACAAAGAAGTTTTACGAGGTCCCTTTTCCTTTGCATTGTTATTGTTTGTGGTGCCTCCTTGATTAGCCTTGTCCGATATTGAACTTTTGCTGCTACATTTATCAGCAGCCGAGAAGAAGTCCTCAGTAACCGGTGATTTTGATTGGTTGGCCAAGCTGTTCAATCGGTAAGTTCTGACAGGAGGCCATCCAACCACCTGACTGCTTCCAGTAAATTTCATAAAAAATGAAAAAAGGTGAGTTCACCTCATACCAAATTCACAACCACTCAACAAGGTTTTTGTACGAAAGAAAGAGCATATAACTCAACCGGTGAGGGCACTCACTCGCCGGGTTTTTTAACCAGTATGATCGGATCGGATCGGATCGAATTTTTCCTCAACCGAAAGCACAATACTGAAATATCTAATATGTAACAAGATAATCGTATCCTAATGATCCCACCAACACCAGTATTTACACAAAATCAGGCAAGACAACCGAACATGGCAAGAAAATGCATAAAACAGCAACAAAATACACACAGTACTTATAATCACAAGGACCAAATGAGGTGAAACCAGAAAGGCCGACAATACCTAATTGCCGGACGGCCCGGAGGCGAAGAAGGCGACTCGGCAGTTCTTTTCATGCCACAAGCGCCATTATTATTAACATTAGCTTTCGTCACGGACGAGGAGGAAGTCGACGAGGACGAGGACGCAGCTTTAGCAGAGCCCGCCGGAGGAGGAAAATCCTTCGCTGTCAAAATCCTCGCGTACTGATCCCACCCACCAGCACCACCGGCCGCCGGCGCCGGCGCCGGCGGATTGATTCTAACCCTTCTTCCGCCGAGGCCCAGCCCAAGGCCCAACTCCAGCTCATCCGGATACGAAGACGAATCCTCGGACGAAATCAGCATACCGTTGTCCTCCCTCGTCAAATTCGACATCAACCCGCCGGAAATTACGCCGCCGCAGGCCAGATGAAGCGTCTCTCGCATGGAAAAGATTCAATTTTTAGTCAATTTTCAGCCGGAAAAAAGGAGGAGGAATTTGATGGGCTCTTTTTTCCCCTGCTTTTATTCTTGTTTTCGTTTCGATTGAGGGGGGGAAAAAGAACAGAGGAAAAAAAGTGTGTGTTTGGTGAAAGGTGGGTGGTGGGCCAACCTTTGTCGGCTAGGTGTGCCGCAAACGGCATCATCAGCTCTCCTAACTGGGGCCCGCTGAGGTACAACTGACATTGCTTTGCCTGCTTGCTTTTATTGTACCAACAGCCCTGAATTTGATTTTATTTTATTTTTTTTACCGTCTTTTTTGGCTTTTGTTTCTGGAATTGGAAATGACATGGTTTTTGAGAGTTTTGTACCAGTACGTCTGTTTTCTATTTGTGTATGTGTATTCTGTATTGTTGGGAAAGTTTTTTCATTTGTGGGGTGTTTTTGTTTGGAGAAAAAGTTACATGCTTGTTTCGTAGATATTTACATATATTTGTAGAGCTTTTGGTTATTGGAGGCGTATGATGAGTACCTAAGACCCCGGAATGATGAAAGATTGATGTACGGATGAAAAAAATAGAAGAAACAAGTGAAACATGTGAAAAATAGAGTGCATATTTGTGACACCGGCAGTGACACGAGCACCATGCCCGTGTCACGTCAACAGAGAGATTTTGAAGCCAGGGACCTGACACGGGCTGCGACACGGGCAAAGTGGTCGTGCCGCGTGCGCAGGCTGTTTTTTATATCTTACCTATTTTGCAAATAAAAAAGGATTGTGGGCATTATAAAAGCCATATTTACCCTATTTTGAGGGGGAACGTGAAACACAAGAAGATAAGCCCTAGAACACACAAGAAAACCAATTGGGAAGCAAAAAGAAGATCCAACTTCGAAGGAATCAAGGATATTGAGAGATCGACGAGATTACTAGTTTTTCTTTCTTCTTTCTTTTGATATTTTATTGATCATGTCGGTTTCTAATATGTCTATGTATTTGAATTCGAACATGAGTGGCTAGTTTACTCGATTCTAGGACTTGGTAGTAGATTAATATGTTGGGATTTCAGATAATTTGTTTATAATTTGTTTTACTTTGGAATCCTATTCAAATATTTTGTTCTTATTTTATGTTTAGCACTTGATCAATGCTTTTGCATGTTTGACAATATTGTTCATAATTCGAGAGATGAGTTCAATATTAGGTCTTTAATATTTGACACAATTTACTTGCTTGAATCGAGAGATAGTAGGTAATTGTGAGAGGATTTTAGATCTTTTAATCTATTTGGAGTTGAATAGTATGTGTTGAGTGGAGACACTAATATATGTGATTTAATCTACGGTTTTATCGATCTCGAGAGGGACAATGAGCTAAATTTGTGATCGTCTAATAGGGTAGATAAAGGAAACCTTTAGTTGTGATATTTTTTAAGAATCCTAACTATTAATTGATCTCACAGTCTTAGAATCCCTCATTCTCATATATTTGTCTTACATGTTCTTTAGTTTATTCATCGTTCTTGATTTATTCCATTTGAATTATTTATTTAGTTTAGCTAACACATCCCATATTCGATCGTTTAAATAAAGTTGACATTGTCATAATCTTGTACTTGATATATTAATTATTTGGTTGCTTGGGATACGACTTTGCTTACCACATACTACGAGCGAAACTGTACACTTGCGGTCGAGCTTTAAAAATATAGGTGAACAGATGACCTCTAGCAGGTAAAAGTGAGTGATCTTTAGCAGTTAGAGGTGAGTGACCTCTAGCAGGTAGAGGGGAAATGACCTCTAGCAAGTAGAGGTGAATGACCTCTAGCAGGTAGAGGTGAGTGACCTCTAGCAAGTCTAGCAGGTCGAGACGAGATGACCTCTAGCAAGTCTAACAGGTGTAGACGAGATGCCTCTAGCAGGTAGAGGCTAGATGACCTCTAGCAGGTAGAGGTGGGTGACCTCTAGCGGGTAGAGGTGAGTGATCTCAAGCAGGTAGAGGTGAGTGACATTTAGCAGGTAGAGGAGAGCACCTCTACTTCCCCATACTTAGTCGTGGGGAGCTTTTCTACTTAGTCACCGAGACCTTCAAGTCTCGTCTAGACCTCCTCAGTCGCTCTTCCTCTATTGTGTTTGGACCTCTTTATGCTTGATTTCGGGTTCACAAGTATGGTTATATCCAGTATTTTGTTGTAATAAGAAAAAGATGTCGAAATGAGAACATATTCTTTTGTTGAACTAAATGATTTTTTAAATCAATTTTTTTTCCTCCATTTTTTATGTTTGTATTATCTATAAAGAATTGTTTGAGGTGTGTTTAGACAATATATATTCTACGTTCCATTAAAGGACTTTTATTGTTTATACAATAATGTGCCTCTAGAAAATTTATTACCATTTTTCATTCTTGATAAATATTTACAATGATTTGGGTCTATTTAAAATAATTTACAATGTTCAGGCAATAAAAAATGTTCTGCAAATGAAACCACTCAAAAAAAAAAAAAAACGATTTATCCTAAAGTTTATTTGAGACACCGTTAGATGACTTATATTTGTTCAATTTGAATAATTTAATTATATTCATATGATTCTTATTTATGGATTTATTTTAAATATATTTATTTATTTTTATTTATGTCAACTAAGAGAGGTTTGCAAATAAAATTGTATCAACGGTTTACGAGTATTTGAATGTGATATTTTTTTCGGTGTAGATGTGGCAATTTTTAGAACATGTATGTACTAGTTATTTTATTTATTTTTGTCGGTTACATCTAGACATTCATTTAAATTGATGAGATTGTAATATACAAAAAATTATTTATTATTTATTATTTATTTAATTTTGCTCCAAAAGTGGTACACCTAGAGCTGTTGACTATTTGACCAATTCCAATGAGCCACCTGGACGATAAATTGAGACGAAAAAATGCGCGAGATATCGACGCAATAATGACAGTTTCGGGGAGGTGGGGACAAACACGGGTGTACGACTTTAACAAGGTTCAGGACAAGCCGACAAAACGTGGGGCCCACAACTTCACACGGCTCAACTTCCCCTTCCTTCCTCATTGAATGATACTCTCACCTGCAGATGTGGGCCCACCTCAAGAGTAAGGCGCCAACTCACACCAAAAACATGGAGTATTGGAGTTCATTTTAATTAATTTTATGCATGGTAACAAAATTAAAAACATAGTTTTAGTGTTATTATAAAATATGAAATATCCTTAAAATATAGGGATATGCTATTGGTTCGTTACGAAACCAGTTCGTCGAAATTTGTAACCGTTAGATTAACTATCCGCGATAATTACATGATAATCTAACAGTTACAAATCTCAACGAAAGTTCCGTAACAAGGACCGTAGTCATTCCTTATAATATAATAAAATAACTGATTCGATTTGAAGCGGTTCAATCCTTTTCTATTGGTTTTTCCATAAAAAGAACACCAAATCAACAATGATATATACTCCACAGTACCACTTATCATATTAATTTTTTTATTCATGTTTTATCAATTGCACGTCTTCTCATTCATGATTATATCATGTGAAAGTTATCATTATAAATTAGATACGCATTTTCGTGTTCGGTAGTCTCAATTCGTAATTACCTATCATATTAAAATGTTACACTTGTATGAGTGTAAGAAGGCCGTTACCCGACCTGCTGTGTGGACTTGGGCTTCGTAGGAAGGATTCACAGTTGAGGGACGTATTAAAATATCATTTGTGAGATATGACATGTTGTTTATAAAAAAA